AAAAAAAAAAAAAAAAAAAAAAAAAAAAAAAAAAAAAAAAAAACACTCAAAGCCAGAGACCCAAGTGGGAATAGCGAAAGAAAGGGAAGGGGAAGCAGCAGAGTAGAGGAATTGGTCGACTCATTAGGCATTAGAAATTTCTTTTGTTGTGCATGACATTGCCCGGGAGTATGTTGCAGGAATGAAACTCAAAGGAATTGACAAGAGCCCACACAAGCAGTGGAGCATGTGGTTTAATTCGATTGCAAGAATTCGACATTAATATACACATCACTTGTCCTTGAAAACCAAACATATATGCTATGTACCTGTAATTTACATCTGAAGATAGGACCCTGATCTTAGGCCTCCCCAGCCAAAGATATCAACTTTCAGTCTAGAATTCACAACTTGGAAATAACTACACATTTTCCCACATAATTTGCTCTAGATTCAAGTAAATGTATTTCTAAAGAAGTCTGTTTGTGTGGTGTAATACAAGAAAAGAATAGGCAGTTATCACTTAAACAAGATATTACATTACTAATGTACATTACAGGCCATCTGCGCAGCAGTCTGGTGAATCTGTGTTAATTTTTCAATAACTTAGTGAAGACTTCTTAAGTATGCTCTCAGTCTGTCAACCTGAAATAAAAAACAAAAATTTGTCAACACATTTTTTCCTTTTCGGTTATAGGAAAGAAAGGACCTTCAGATATCTAATTACAAGCATATAACATTTTACAACTTCAACCTTTTTAAAACTCCATTAGCAATGACTGCTGAATTTACTAAACCGACAGTGTCCACAAGAGCTAGCAAAGCAAAAGAGCGGTCATCGTCTGTTGTTCAAATATAATTTCATGCAAAGCCATTTACCTTTTTAAACAGGTTGAGCAATGTCAGTTGCTCTATATCAATGTGAATTCAAGAAATAATATCTATTCAGGCTGGTGGAAGAGGACGTCGACATGTTGGACACTCCATCTTTATGTCCATCCATCTTTGCAAACAACCGGAATGAAAGAAATGATCACAAGGTGTCACCTGAATATCAAGAAATTTTGTAGTTAAAATCACTTTCTAATAGGAACTCTAAATTAAGCGAGAAAATCTTTTTATGACTATATATATTACCATGCAATTATTTAAACGTTGAGAAAGATCAATAGCAGCCATACAAATAACACAATCAGCGGCACTATTGGCACCCTGATCAAACCTTCTGTTATAATTATACTTCTCGGGTAAAATCTGCAACACGACAATAAAGCTTACATAAGATTTGGTGAAAGGGCGGAATGAAGTATTTTCAGTTTTTCCTCCTTTCAACAATTAATCCTTTCGAGAGATTCAACTGATGGAGCAGTATCAAACCTGACGTGGAATGAACCAACGAGATCCAAGATAGTGCTGCAGAAGAAGAATTGCCGCCTGCAACGACATAAAAACTCCCAAGCAAATGCACCAATTCTTGTCAGGCTCTATACGCATGAAATTGTGAGGACAGCCAAAGACATATAATGGGATTGCCAGACGAGTTATACTCATTCCCAAGATGTAATGAGGGTGCAATGATTTTCTCGAGTCACGAATGACATTAGTTACAATTTGAGGTATCCAAAAAGAGTGTAAAAGGAGAAGAATAGGGCGTAGAAGCTTGTGAAACTCGTACATGACCAATATACCACCTAAAAGGATCCCATCTGCAAAAGATTCAGAAAATAATAAAAGAGGTTCTTATAAAAGAGCAAAAAAGAAAAAGGGAAAGTAAAAAGCGAGCAGATTGTTTATGACCAACTGCAAATACAACTCAAGCGGCCCAACTTTCAGAGGAGAGGGATCTGGGAAAGACCCGATGCAAATGCTTCAATGTTTCTTTAGGAAATCTTTCTCTTGTACTTGGTCAAAGTTCGTGGTGCACAAAAAAATATTGGGGGAAAAGTGATAGAACAAGAAAGCGGTTAATTCATTAGCCTGTCCACCAGCAAGTTGGACAAAGAAAGACGTAAAATGCTGGTGAAACCAGAAATGTTATTTGACTTTAACATCTAACTACCCTTTCAATAGCAGCATGCATATTGATAACAAAGGCAAGTGTACTAAACAAACCTCCCGTTGCTGATTCTGTTAACTATTTCTATTCAAGTCCACATTAAGTAAAAGATACTTACAGAAACGGCTGTAAAGTACTGAGAGTTCACGCCTCATTGCTTCCCAACCCTCTCCACTATTCATTGGCCTATTTGCTTTCCATATAGCAAGAAGATATCTCATCTCAAATATCGAGAAGACAACAAACTTGAAGAATGCAGCAGTTGCAAAAGCATTGAAAAGGGATTCTGCAAAAGAATTAAAGGGAGCGGCACACAGTACCATAAGAAAGCAGTGACCAGCTTCTACTTATAAGACTTTATTAACATAGCAAGAATTGGAATATAAGTTTGGAGAGACTTCTTTGAAGAAAAATTACATAAAAGTAATACTTGAGAGTCAAGGGTAGGGCTTCATTGACAATATACAACAACATAAGTTTGCTATCAGAAAAAATGAACATGTTAAGAATGTCATTCATTTGAAGAACCATCTACATAAACTTTTAACAGTGCTGCTTCCAAAGTGACAAATAAGACAGAAGAATATGTCATAGGTATGACTTATTAACATGCTCCTACAAGTCCATATGATATAGGTATGACTTGCATTCTGAACATAGAATGCCTGATCATAAGGCATGACACCAAGACAACAACTACTGATCAAACTTACCAACAAGTATTCCTGCGGTCAGATGCAAAAGACAAAGATAAGCATCCATGATAGCCTGTTGTCCAATCATCAGAATTGAAACTTTGGCAGCTCCCTACAAAAAGAATATCACATGTCAGTCTTCTACTTTATCACCAAAAAGAAAAGGGGAGAGAGAGAGAGAGAGAGAGAGAGAGCGCAAAATAGATATGCATGCTAACT